TAACACGGTGCTTCATGTGGGGGTATAGGCAGAATAAGTGATGACCACTATCCAGTGTATTTTACTTATAGAGAAGATGCACATTAATAGGCAAGGATAAGAAGATGGCAAACTTCATCCACATCTTCAACAATTTTCCCTGCCTTCAATGGCTTTCCCAACCCCTTCAGAAAAAAGAAACAGAAGACACGTATACATCAAATGGAGAGGATTATTAAAGATCCCTAACTAGCTACCTAACCTCAAACCCACCTGGGATAGTTCCTCAGGAAGTCATCCTATAAGTAACCTCTTAGTGTCAGCGTCACCCATAGGAGAAGTGAAATTTTCAGTAATCAGTACTATTTATAACAACTCATGCAAAAAAAAAAAAAAAAAATTTGGACTGAGGTTAATATTTACCTATGTAGAAAATAACAGTATTAAACAAGACTATCTTATAATTTTGAATTTGCTCAAAAGTTTTCAAGTTCCCTCAAACTCTTTATTCATGTGTTAAAGGAATTATTTAAAGATTCTGTCTAGGTAATCCTCTACTAGGCTAGGTCTAACTGCTGCATATTGTTTGAAGATACGAAAACCATAATTCTTTAAACAGTCTTCACTAATTAAAACTCACAACCTCTTCCCTATGTTCTTTGGAATTCATTAAATTTTTTAAATGGCATGGCACTTTCATATTTGGACTGACCAAAAAGTTAAACAAATAGCATATTTTCCATGAAAAATAAGATAGTGAGATTCAAGTTTATAATCCAAAAGCATTGCTCTTGATTAAACGTAAGTCACTGCATTTAATTGAACATAAAATATATTTTATTCATCGACTTTCGGTATTTTCCAAAAAAATGAAATATTCTTTTAAGTTCACAAAGGAAATTCTATGAAAATGAAAAAAGAAAGCATATGCCATAACATTTACATAATATAATTTGGTATTTTCATTTTATCTGTGATCCCAGTTTCAACTCATGTCTAATACATTTAGTAAATGCATTGTTCTTAACTGTAGGGATACATTAATTCTTTGAGGCCGCAAGAGTACTATTTAGTAAATTATTGCCTGCAAAATGACCCATGCCTAGTGGACTCAAAGTGACAATTCTGCTTTAAAAGGTAAAGCTTTTAATAGTTAAAAGAAATAAAGGAAGACACAAAGAAATGGAAAGACATCCCCTGTTCATGGACTGGAAGAATTAACATTATCAAAATGGTCATCCTACCGAAAGCAATTTACAGATTCAACACAATACCAATAAAAATTCAATGGCATTCTTCAAATAAATAGAACAAGCAATGCTAAAATTCATATGAAATCACAAAAAGCCTCAACTAGCCAAAGCTCTCCTGACTAAAAAGAAGAATGGAGGCATCACATGCCCAGACTTCAAACTATACTACTAAGCCATAATAATTAAAACAGTATGGTACTGGAATAAAACAGACACACAGACCAATGGAATCGAACTGAAAACCCAGAAATAAAGCCATACATATAGGGACAACTGATCTATGACTAAGGAGCAAAGAATATGCAATGGAACAAGGACAGTTTGTTAAATAAATGGTGCTGGGAAAACTGGATTGCCACATGCAAAAGAACGAAACTAGACTACTACTTCACACCATGTGCAAAAAAAAAACCTCAAAATGGATAAAAGACTTGAACATAAGACCTTAAATCATAAAATATATAGAAGAAAACATAGGCAAAACACTCCATGACATACATCTAGGAAACATCTTTAAAGACTCATCCCCCAAAGCAACAAAAGTGAAGGAAAAGATAAACAGCTGGGATTACTTCAAACTAAAAGGCTTCTGTACAGCAAGGGAGACAATAACCAAAACAAAGAGACACCCTACCGATTGGGGGGAAATATTTACATCCCACACAACTGATAAGGAACTGATTTCAAAGATCTACAAAGAGCTCATAAGACTCAACAAAAACAAAGCAAACAATCCAGTCAAATAATGGTCATAAGAGCTAAAAAGATGCTTCTCCAAAGCGGAAATGCAAATGGCCAACAGATATATGAAAAAATGTTCAACGTTGCTTATAATCAGGGAAATGCAAATCAAAGTCACAATAAGATACCACCTCACACCAGTGAGAACGGCACATATTAAAAAAAACTGGCATCAACAAATGCTGGCAAGGATGTGGAGAAAAAGGCACTCTATAACACTGCTGGTGGGAATGCAAACTAGTCCAACCATATGGAAAGCTACTAAAAATATGACCCAGCAATTCCACTTCTAGGAATCTACTCAAAGGTCACAAAAAACATTAATTCGAAAGGAAACCTGCACTCCTATGTTTATTGCAGCACTATTCACAATAGCTAAGATATGGAAATAACCTACGTGCCCAAAAACAGATGATTGGATCAAGAAGATGTGGTGTATGTACACGATGGAATACTATACAGCAATCAAAAAAGAAAAACTCATACCATTCGCAGCAACATGGATGGAGCTGGAAGGGATTATGATAGTGAAATAAGTCCAAAGGAAAGAGAAAAATATCTGATGGTTTCACTAATAGGAGGAACATAATGAAAACAAACAAGGGATGGGGGTGGGTGGAGACAAAAATAGCAGGGAAACTATAAATTGGAGGCCTTTAGTTGGGGAAGGGGGAGGAGAGGGATCAAAACATGGGAGAGAGGAGCACAAGGGACTGTGGTGACAGTTCACAGGTGTCTCAGTGGTGGTAATTTTATGGGGATTACACCTGAGAGCAGAATGAATGACAATGTAAAAAATATATAAATAAAAATAAAAATTAATAAAAGCTGAAACATTTACCTACTTACTCTTTCAAAGACTCTCACTTAAACTAGTGGAGAATAAAGAGGCCACAAGTAGAAAAGAGGAGTCTTTCAAGTTTTAACATTTACAAACTTGAGCTACTTAAGAAAAAAAAAAAAATCCAGGTTTCTACTGAGGCAAACCATCAAAACACAATCAAAATAAAACACAACCACTCCCCAAATTTAGCAGATATCATCTAAATTCAAATCCAAAAAAGCAGTTTAACAAGCACAGCAATTTGTTTTTTTATTAATCTCTATGTGTAATACAGACTGCCATAAATCCATCACATCAACTTCTTCCCACTAGAAGCTGTTATCATGTTATCTGTTCTTGGTTAAAAAATGTCAATCCATTGGACATCTCTAAAATGTGAGTAACTGTGCTAATATATAATTAATGTGCTAATGTACAAAAGTGAAAATCTGTGAAGGGGACTTGGAGATTCCTTTGGGTGTTAATTTGGGAATTTCACACAGCAAGGCTTCTGGGGGCAAGCCAGGATCAATGAGCACACAGCTGAGTAATTCTTTGTGCCATGCACATTCTTGATCATGTAAGCAAAGACGTGCTAATCAAACGGTCAAAAGAATGAAGAACAATAAATAAAAATTACAGTAGATGAAGACAGAAGTCCATGGTCTCTCCAAAAAACATGAGGGACAAGTCCTTAAGTTATCGGGGTGATCTGTCACCTCTGCATCAGAGCCCAATTCTAGCATTAGTGCTATTGTTTAAAAAACAAACAAAAAAATCCCTATTTAGCTATCCATCATAGGTAAATTTCCATCACTACATGAACCGACCTCAAGCTCAGATTTCTGGAGAATTTCCTTTCCTTCCTTTAAAAATATATTCTAGACTGGAATGATAACAACAGTCGGGACTTGCAGCTGCCACGGAAGTACTCACTGCAAAAATAATAATAATAAAAAAAGAAAGCAATCGCAAACGGGAGATACCTTTAGTCAGCTTTTCTTTTCCTTCCTCTCTTTAATATTTTATAACATATTATAAGCTCATTTAAAGTTCCTTCCTTAAATCTTCAAGCAGGCTTTAAACAAATTGCAAATGCTTTACACTTGAAATCATCAATCATTTACAGAACCTTCTCCATGAACTGAATAATAAGCCATCTGTGTAGGGCCTCCCTATCATGTTTTTGAGCTGACCCACTTCTTCATCAGTCCACCATGGTCTGCAAAATTTCACTTCGAAGGGGGCAGCCATAAGCTCTGTGCCAGTGCACAGTTTAAACCCAACGGGGTCAAAACACAAATGCAAACCCCAGCTTCAAGGACACCAGTCTTCATTCAAAATGACCCTCACCCCACTACGCTTCTAAAAACAGAACTTCAAAGCCACCCTTCACCGGAAGCAATCCCTTTTCCAAGGGGAGAGTAGATCAAGTCTGCGGGGGCGAATGGGAGCCAGTGATAGGGAATGAGAAACCTGATCAGGGGTTAAAGGCTTGGCGCATGCAGCTCCGGAGCTCAGACGCCGGCTTTGCAAGCAGGCTCCGCTCAGGTCTGCACGAGCTGCCTCCCCAGACAGTCTCCATTAGGGGATGGGACACGGTCCGCGGTGCAGGGCAGCGCGCCCCCAGCAGCTGCAGGGCGGGGGACCCCCTGCGCGCCCCCTACCCCCCGCGGCGCGGGGCGGGGATGGGGCCGCCGCCCGGGAAACACAACTTTCCGCAGGTCCCCGCCAGCAGCCCAGAGCCACCGGGGGCTGCTCGCACACCGCTCCCCACACCAGCCCTTCCTCTCAGGGCGAGGGGTGGGGGGAGGGTCTGGCAGGACTTGGGGGACGCCAGGAGCGCAGGAGGGGGGCTCCCACAGCCCCGGCCGTCACAAAGGGCCGGCGCGCGGCCGCCCTCGGTGCCCCGAGTCCCACGCCGGCCAGGGCGGCGCGGCGCGGGTGGGGGCGCGCGGGGCCGGGCGCGCGGCAGGTGACAGCGGCGTCCGCGGGCCCCGCGCCTCCCCGCCCACCCCGGGGCCTCGCCCGCGCCGCACCGCACGGCTCCCCCGCGGGCCGAACCCCGCCACCGTCTGGGCGCCGGCCGCAGCCCACGCCCGGGCCCCGGCCCCTCCCGCGCCCCGCGATCCGGCGCCCCAGCGGAGCCCCGGCGCGCGCGCTGCCCGCGCCCCTGCTCGCCCCTCCGCGCGCCGCCCGCCTACCCTTTGGCGTGCTCGGCCTCCTCCTCATTGTCCCCGTCTATGCCGCACGTGTCCTGGTCGTCCAGCTCCAGGCTCTGCTGGCTGGCCGCAGACTCGCTATCCTCCGCCATCGCGGCGGCGCGGGCTGGGGAGGCGGCGCTCCGGGCCGCGGGCGTGGGGGGCCGGCGGCGAAGGCGGCGCGAGCAGCTCCCCCTAGTGCCGCCAGCGGCCTCAGCCCGGAGCCCCGGCCCGCGCGGCCCGCCCCGCCCCGCCCCGCCCCCCCGCCCCGCCCCGCCGCGGCCCGCCCACCGCGGCTGGGCGGGCTGAGGAGAGCGAGAGGGGTCCGCGCGCCTCCCCTCGCCTGGGTTCGGGGAGGGGCGTTGGGGGGTCACGGGCTTGCGCCCCGCGCACCCCGCGAGCCTGAAAAGCTCCAAGCCTGAGACCGCCTCGGCTCAGGGCTCGAATCTGAACGCTGCAACGTGCGCACTCCAAATCCTGTGAGCCTTCATTTTTGGAACATAGGCCACTACATTTTACATCTTTACATGTAAACCCTTCGCAGGGATTTGTTTTTAGTCAGGAGTAGGGATGCCAAGGCCACAGATTTGCAGAAGACACCCCCCCCCCCACACACACACACACATACACACGCATACTTTTAAAAATTCCATTTCATATATCTGCATCTATCTGTCCAACACAATATAAAATCAAAGCCAAAGTCAAAACAGAGTGCTTCCAGCTTTCCCACCTCGCCATTCCAACAGCCCTAGAACTCTTGACAGAAAATTCTGGAGTTGCCCTTGTTTTCCTTAGAAAACACAAGAATTGCCTCAGAACACAACAGCCATCTTGGAAGCAAGGGACAGTGTCAGGTTAGCCAGTCTGGCCTTCCCAAGTGACTGACTGTCTTGACCTAGGCCATGCAAGCAAAGGTGGGTGGCCTTTGGGCTGAACCTGGCCTCCCTTATCTCTGCTGAAAAGAGGAAGGAAGGAAGCACAGCATAGGTGGTCAAATAAAAAGCAGTCTGAAGTTCAGACTCCTGTTTGCTGTCGTGGTCTGTACACAGCAGTCCGTTTTTTTGCTCTCCTGTAATGAGTAGTGTTCAAAAGTCCCGCCAGGCCACAGACAGCCTTAAAAGGTGCTTTTGCAAAGGCAGTGGGAAGATAGCTATCAGAAAAGCTCAGTGAGAAAAAAGAGACTTCAAAAAGCCACCTGAAAATTTTGGTGAGGCTTCTTTTTCTGCAGAAGTTACTGTGGGCTTTTTGCGGCCCTTTTCCCGGTAAAGAAGACTCTGCCCTTAAAATGCAATGAGATAAAAGTATCTCATTGCATGCAGTATGTTTTCAAAGTCCATCAGCCTTTTAGTGATCAGCTGATGTTGGTCAGCTAAGCTTCTGTAAGATGTCCAAAATGGGGCCAAAACACCAATACTATCTTCCCCAACTGCAGCTATTGCTGAGATTGAAAGTCTCCAGAAGACTCCAAATTCGAATTTTAGGATAAAGGTAAATCTAGATCAGTGAGTTTTCTGTGGCTTATCCCTATAAGAAGAAATGGCTCATCCCTATGAAGAATTAGGTAACAGTAAACCCAGTGGGGTAGCCAGCAGGATCCTGGCCAGCAGCACGCCTACCAAATCACATACTGTAACCTATCAGAAGGGCACTCTGAAAGATTTTAAAAATATGAAGTAAAGGAAACTCAGCAGACATATATTATTTGAATTTTCAAGAAGCTTTGACTAAGAGTCACTCAAAAAAGAATAAGAAAACAAATAATGCTGGAGAAATAAAATGAGGTCATCAAAAACCAGTTAAACTCTAGAAAACAATGACAACCAGGAACATCTGTTCCACAGGATGGAAGAAGTTGGCCCAGATGTCTGTTCAGTACCGAATGAGGTATTGTATAACACAAATGTTTATCATCATTAATTGTTTGAAGGAGAAAAAAATTTGCAGATGACCTTGAAGGTGCCTAAATCCTATTGTCATGTACAGAAAAATCAGTTTCTCAAAATTTTTTGCTTTCTCTGGTTAATCCCAGAGTTTGAGGAATTGGAACCAAGTGGCATTTTCTGGAATCTAGCATTCAAGATTTATCTGTGGGAAGAGGATACCGTAAAGTAGCTATCAGTGTGTCAAAAGAGGCACTTGAGAATTTCCTATCCTGCTTGTCTCATCTCCTATTACGTTACGTAGGCCATAGATGTATAATTGGTCTTCTTTTATTTAAATGTTTATAACTTTTTCTTTGAAAAAAATTGTGATAACTTAATATAGTATATTCACATGTTGATTCTCAATGATGCACCCCAGAAACGTATATAGTGCTCTAATGCAGTATTTCTTCAATATAAAAGAAGAAAAGAGGGAAAAATTGTGGTAAGATGTGTTACCATCTTAACATTTCTAAGTATACAGTTCAATAGTGTTAAGTATATTAATATTTTAGGCAAGCAATTCCCAAAGCTTTTTCATCTTGCATAACTGAAATTATATCCTTTAAATGAGTCCCCATTCCCCATCCCTACAGTCCCTGGCAACCATTATTTTACTTTATCTAGCTATGAACTGATTACGTACCTCATATAAATGGAACCATTTGGCTTTGTGATTCACTTATGGATATAATCAAGAATAGATGTATAATCCTTTTTTCTGCTTATACAGTGCATTTTTAGACCAAAACAATAAGAAATTTAAAACTACATGTAATAAGGGATAGACTAAAGGTATTTTCTGTAAGCCATTAGCAAATATGTAGTGAAAAACTTGAAGATACTTAATTACAATGAAAAAGTCTTACTTGAGTCAGTCTGTCAGTGGAAGAGTATTATGCATTATGTGAAGTGCTACAGAGTACTTGACCTTGGGACATATTTGAATATTTCTTCTTATTTTCATCTATGAATACTATAATTTGAAGAGGAAGTGGGGATGGGGAGGTGGACAAAATTACAGAAAGAAGCAATGATAAGAATTTGACAAAAAGGCAACAGAACTCCAAAGGAAATGTCAAACAAGCTCCTGTTATACCAGAAATATGAAGGTGCATTCTGAAAGGATGCTACATGAAGGACCCGACCTACTATTCTCTAGTTTTTCAGAAATTAGTAAATTATTGATCCAGCCAAAGAGAGATTTGATGCATAGGAAGATAGATCTGAGAAATAACCTAGAATGCGTTTAGAGAAATAAAATTAAAGAGAGACATAGGTGATGGAATGAAAAGTTTCAACATTCATCCAATAGGAGTCCCAAAAAGAATGAATGAGTTCCAGGAGGAAAAAATGGGGCAGAAGACAATAGCTGAGGAAATAATAAAAGTGACTAAGAATACCTGCAAGCTGGTCAGTTTTTTCTTAGTTCATCTCTTTCTTCATGAACTCTATCACATGTCTCTAACCACAGACATGTGGGAGAGTCCAGCTGAGATTAGCATAACTTCCCAGCTGACCCAGAGACATCTGAGATAGATCATCTGATGATGTAGTCACTGTTATAAGTCATTGATTTGTAGAATATTTTAATATGCAACAACAACTAGCTTGCAGACTACAGAAAAGCAAAGTTAAGTAGAAAAATTTCATTTGTTATCATCAATTGTGATTACTGTCTGTGTCCCTGGGTATGTCTGAAAAAGACTCCTGCCAAATGAACAGTGTGCCCTTTGCATCCTATCCTCATAAAAACACTGCCCATTACTTTTTCACTGTACTATTCATGATAGATGGCCCATTTTTCACTCATATTGGACTTGATTTTTTTTTAAGTGATACCATTTCTAATTGTTGAGGAACTTATGACTATGCTGGACCTTTTGAAATTGTACAGGTGAGAAGCACTTCTGATGGTCATGGTCACTAAGCATGCTTTTTCACCTCCTGCTGCTTATTATTTTGCTGAAAGGTTTTCATACTTGTTGAAACCAGCAAGGAGTTGCCACAGTGAATATTGCAGACTTTTTGCATCATGGAATTTCACTACTGTGGAGCGTGTCTTGGACAAGGTGGGACTTGAGGATGATGCCAGGCAAAATGCCAGGGGATTAAAAGATGATGCCATGGCATGCCTTGGAAGCATGCATTTATTTAGGAGCTAGAAGAGGCCCTAATTCTGTAAACACTGCTTGCCAAACTCCTTAAATATATCCAGGCTTTGTCCATCAAAGCCTTGCAGGCTAGAGCTTTGCCAGAGTTCATTATTTCTTTTATTAATACAGACAATATCTTCCAGAAACATACTGTCTCATCAGCAAGTTTTTCTTCAGAAGAAATACTACAGGAGGCAGAAGGATCTATTCCTGCCCTAGGTTTAGGGCTGCCTGGCCCTCTCAGGAAGAAAGCATGGAGGAGGAAGGATAAGTAAAGAAGTGAGAAGAGTAGGTAAGGGATAGGAAGGAGAGAGAGGGAGATCAGGAAAGGGGAGGAGAAAATAAAGCAGGGTGGTGGAATGGGGGGCAAGCAAGAGCAGTGAAGGGAATCAGTGGAATGCAACCCCGAGGCCACAGCCATGTTCCCGTCTCTCTTCTCTTATGCCTTTTGATCTTTTCCCACAGCACTGCTGGAATGACCCTTCAGTGGCAATCAATTAGTCTCCTGATTTAGAAAGCCTGTGGCTCCCAATTGCCTTCTACACAATCAGAGCCCATTAGGTCTGCATTCCAGGCCTCTCACCAGCTGGCCTCACCCACCTCTGGTCTCCACCTCCCAGGGTCTCCCAGTGATCAGCACACTCTTGGCTCTTGCCGCTGCAAGCCCCTCTGCAACCTCTAGATACATCAGGTCCTTTCTCAGCTTTTCACTTGTTGTTCCTCCCCTTTCTCTCATCTGTCATCATGACACAGCCCAAATGTCGCCTTCCCTGTAAAGCTTCCCACACAAGCAGATAGTTGTTCAGTTGTTTGTGTTCCCGAGTCCTCTGCTTGTGCCTGTTATCATGCAGTAGTGAGTCTTTTCTGTTCCGCCGTCATCCCAGCACACTCTGCCAGCCCCTGGAGAGTCCTCCCCTGGCCGTGTCTGTGGCCACATCACCCAGAGGTGCCAGTCCACCTCGTTTTGCCTTTGAGTAAGCCCTACGCCTTTTAACAGTCTGTTCACAGAGGCAGTCAGGCAAAATTTCCCCTTACTGTGGATTTTCA